AAGAGAGAGGTGAAGTTTTATAAACTAAAAAGGGAGCATTTTAGGGTAAGATATAAACAGCTATTGGAGGATAGAGGGGCTAATGAGAGCATGGGCAAGGGGGTCGAAGAGGTATGGGGTAGTTTAAAAATGTAGTGTTAGAGTGTTCACAGAAGTTTGTGGTTACAGGAAAGTGGGTGCGGGAGGGAAGAGGACGATTGGTGAATGATGATGTAAAGAGAGTAGTAAGGGAGAAAAAGTTAGCATATGAGAAGTTTTACAAAGTAAAGTGATGAAAGGGAGGGAAGAGTATATGGAGAAAAAGAGAGAGGTTAAGAGAGTGGTGAAGCAATGTAAAAAGAGAGCAAATGAGAGAGTGGGTGAGATTTATCAACAAATTTTGTTGAAAATAAGAAAAAGTTTTGGAGTAAATTTAAACAAGTTAAGAAAGCCTAGAGAACAAATGGATTTGCCCAGTTAAAAAAAAGGAAGGAGAGTTTTTAAATGGAGAGTTAGAGGTATTGGGGAAAAGATGGGGGGAATATTTTGAGGAATTGTTAAATGTTGATGAAGATAGGGAAGCTGTGATTTCGTGTATAGGGCAAGGAGGAATAACATCTTGTAGGAGTGAGGAAGAGCCAGTTGTGAGTGGGGGGGAAGTTCGTGAGGCAGTAGGTAAAATGAAAGGGGTAAGGCAGCCGGGATTATGGGATAAAAAATAGAAATGTAAAAGCAGGTGGGATATAGTTTTGGAGTGGTTGGTGCAATTATTTAATAAATGTATGGAAGAGGGGAAGGTACCTAGGGATTGGCAAGAGATGCATAGTTCCTTGTAAAAAAGGCAAAGGGATAAAAGAGAGTGCAAAAATTATAGGGGGATAAGTCTGCTGAGTATACCTGGTAAAGTGTATGGTAGAGTTATTATTGAAAGAATTAAGAGTAAGACGGAGAATAGGATAGCAGATGAACAAGGAGGCTTTAGGAAAGGTAGGGGTGTGTGGACCAGGTTTACAGTGAAACATATAAGTGAACAGTTTTTTAATAAGGCTAAAGAGGTCTTTGTGTCATTTAGGATTTGGAAAAGGCGTATGACAGGATGGATAGGGGGGCAATGTGGTAGATGTTGCAATGTAATGGTGTAGGAGGTAGGTTACTGAAAGCAGTGAAGAGTTTTTTTCGAGGATAGTGAGGCTCAAGTTAGAGTATGTAGGAAAGAGGGAAATTATTTCCCATAAAAGTAGGCCTTAGACAAGGGTGTGTGATGTCACCGTGGTTGTTTAATATATTTATAGATGGGGTTGTAAGAGAAGTAAATGCGAGGGTCTTGACAAGAGGCGTGGAGTTAAAAGATAAAAAAATCACACATAAAGTGGAGTTGTCACAGCTTTCTCTTTTCTGATGACACTGTGCTCTTGGGGAATTCTGAAGAGAAGTTGCAGAGATTGGTGGATGAATTTGGTAGGGTGTGCAAAAGAAGAAAATTAAAGGTGAATACAGGAAAGAGTAAGGTTATGAGGATAACAAAAAGATTAGGTGATGAAAGATTGAATAAACAATTGGAGGGAGAGAGTATGGGGGAGGTGAATGTATTCAGATATTGTTAGTGGACGTGTCAGCGGATGGGTCTATGAAAGATGAGGTGAATCAGAATTGATGAGGGAAAAAGAGTGAGTGGTGCACTTAGGAGTCTGTGGAGACAAAGAACTTTGTGCTTGGGGGCAAAGAGGGGAATGTATGAGAGTAAAAGTTTTACCAACGCTCTTTTATGGATGTGAAGCATGGGTGATGAATGTTTTCAGCGAGGAGAAGGCTGGAGGCCCAAAGGGGATGTCATGTCTGAGGGCAATGTGTGGTGTGAATATAATGCAGAGAATTTGTAGTTTGAAGTTAGGAGGGGGTGCGGGATTACCAAAACTGTTGTCCAGAGGGCTGAGGAAAGGGGTTTTTGAGGGGGTTCGGACATGTAAGAGAGAATGGAGCGAAACAGAATGACTTCAAGAGTGTATCAGTCTGAAGTGGAAGGAAGGCGGGGTAGGGGTCGGCCTAGGAAAGGTTGGAGAGAGGGGGTAAAGGGGGTTTTGTGTGCGAGGGGCTTGGACTTTCCCGCAGGTATGCATGAGCGTGTTTGATAGGAGTGAATGGAGACAAATGGGTTTTTAATACTTGACGTGCTGTTTGGAGTGTGACAAAGTAAACATTTAGAAGGGGTTCAGGGAAACCGGCAGGCCGGACTTGAGTCCTGGAGATGGGAAGTACAGTGCCTGCACTCTGAAGGAGGGGTGTTAATGTTGCAGTTTAAAAACTGTAGGGTAAAGTATCCTTCTGGCAAGACAGTGATGGAGTGAATGATGGTGAAAGTTTTTCTTTTTCGGGCCACCCTGCCTTGGTGGGAATCGGCCAGTGTGATAATAATAATAATAATAATAAAAAAGTCCCCCAAGAGCACCTTAAGTATAATGTAAGGGAATATGGCTCTGTTACAGCAGAGAACTTCCAAGCTGTTGATTGGCTGCTACTGACT